GAAAAAAAAAAAAAAAAGACGTTCCCCTTTTACAGTTTTGGTTGGTTTTGGTTTTGGGATTGTTTTTTTTTTCCTTTGGTTGTTTTTTTTTTGTTGTTGGGTTGTTTGTTTTTTTTTTTCCAATGCATGAAAATACTTCTTACTTGCAAGCTACCTAAAAGAATGACCAATTTTCTGGCTTGGCTGGGGTTAAAAACACTAACAAGGCTACTCTTTTCTGCTGTTTGGCTTCTTCAGTTTTTAATTACTTATTTATTGGGGGGGAGGAGGGGAAACAAACCATGATTACACACTCTTTTTAATGATTTTGACGAGGAAAGACTTTTTTTTTTTTTTTTGGAACATTTTGTAAAAAAAATAAACCACAAAAAAAAAAAAAAAGAGGTTATGCACCCAAAAGCCAAGATCTTGAAACTTAAAGGCTCTTTACTTTGCAAATGAGAACTCGTTCCTAATTGAGCTTCACGTGGCAATTTTGAGTGCTTTCTGGCCCCCTCTGCTGTTTATCTCCTAACCTGCATCATCTAAAGCTGCATCTTCTGCACCCGCCCGCCTTTAGCGCGTACGCTCCGTCGTGGTGACTCCAGACGAGCTAACTAAGATGGCATCAAATGTTTGATTTTTTCCTGCAGGGAATCAGACTCCATTCTTCTTAAAGCAGAAACAACATTTTTGGGTTTTCCTGTATTTGAAGAAGAGACTCCCTTTTCTAGAAAGACGGTCGATGTTTGTTTCTTTTTTTTTTTCTTCTTCTTTTTTTTTCGGTTGGGTTTTTTTGTTTTTGTTTTTTTTTTTACTCCCGTCGGTTCCTTTTCGAAATCTGCCTTGTGGTATGTTGAAATGTAAGTGCTGAAATGAAGAGTTTGAAATTGTGGGAATTTTATTCTTTGAAAGCAAACCTAATCTGGTATTCTCTGTGAAAGACTGTTTTAAAAGTCATACTGTTGTACAGTAGTTTATGCACTATTACCCACAACAACAAAAAAATTGTGCCAAACTATGAACAAGTGACTGTATTGTATATATTTTTACTTCTCTATCAACATTGGGTTGTGAGTGTTTTCTGCAGCTATGCCTTTTGGTTTTACTAGAAACATTCCAGTTGTTAAGTACTAACCACCCCCCTTATGAAAGCACCTGTAACTCACGATGAAAATGATATCGTTCACTTATACAACTTACCAAAAGTTTTATGGACATGACTAAAAGTGTGCCAAATTTACTTACCTCATTTCATGGATTCACCCTGTGGTTTAAAGCTCATAAAGGGAAAAAAAAAAGGAAAAAAAAAAGGAAAAAAAAAAGAAAAAAAAGGAAAAAAAAGGGGAAAAAAAGACAAGGGGAACTTTGAAACCAATGCTGGGAAATGGTAATGTCCTCTCTTTGAAACCATGAGCAGAAAAACTTAATGGTGAAATGTTGAGTTTCATTATAGGAGAGAGTTGAAATGGTGGAGGAGTTCAGAAAACCACTGACGGTAAGTTTGCCAGGAACTCAAGTGTCTGCATCTAGAGACTACAGAACAGCTGCTTTTCAAGTGTCTGTTTTCTTAAAGCAAAACCTGTAGCTGAAGATCATTTGAAATGCAAAGTTACATTGCTAATTCTTTGTATCTCAGTTTTATATATTTTATAAGAACCTGGGATAAATTCTAAAATAGTTATAAAAACAGAACTAATACCTTTCATACATTTATTGCTATTTACTTTTCCTTTGAGTAGTTTCTTAAACATTTTCGATGCAGAGCCTCTCAAAAGCGCTCTCCTGTCATAGCTTTGGTGTTTCCTCAATGTCTAACCTTGCGATGCCAATATCATTTGAACTTTCGAAAGCAAAAAGTCATTAGTTTCAAATACAACTCTGAACCTTTTCTTTGATTCAGTTCGTAAGATAAGAGAAAAAGAAAAAAAAACAACAAACAAACCACGGAGCTATTTGTGATCTCACCGATCAGGGCCGGATCATACATGACTGGACTTTATCAAGACAGCGTTAAGTATTGAATGCTAAATGTATTCTCAAAAGGCCTTATTTGTAACCCTACTCACCACACCCTCGCCCTCCAAGAGAATAACAAACCCAACAAATACCTATTTTCCTTGTGCAACTGAGAGCCTGTGCGTTTTGCTGCTGATTTCTTATTGAAACCCTGATATGCAAGAGCCCTGCTAACTGGGAGCTATTGGGAGCAGAGGGATGCGAGGCATGGACACGTTTATGCAATAGAAAATGATGAGGAAGAGGAGCCTTAATAGCAGTCGGACAGATCACGTTCTCGACACGGTCATGAGCGTAGAGGTGGTGTTTCGCAGAGGACAGGACTAGACTCGGGTTTCCTTACAAGAAGGGGTTTTTTTTTCCAGCCCACGCGCAAGGGAAAGCAGCAGAATTGGTTTAAGTTGGTTTAGCAAAAAAGCAGCCTGAACGCTTCAAATTGAAGCGGAGTGTCGGTTTCGAATCAGAATTGTTTTCAGCGTTTGCAGATGGTGAGGTGTAGCTTAGGCTCAGCGCTGCAATCCCGGCGAGAACCGCGCGGGAACTGCATTGCGTTTTATTTAACAGGTGAAAGAAGGAACTCTGAAAAAAACAGTGATTCTGAAAACTGCCCTTTAAGTTCATTTATTCCCTGAAAAAATGAAACGCTGGCGTTGCCCGCAGCGAGCTGCTCTGGACGAGAGCGGTCCCTGGGTACCCCATGGGTGGGAGTGGGGGCAGCATCCCGCCCCGACTCTGGCATCAGGAGGGAGATCCAGAAGATGCTCAGGCTTTATTTTGGAGACGAGAGCTGTGCTAGGGCTCCATCCCTGGGCGTTTGGCTTGCCTGCAGCCACCACGCTCTCCCCTGCTTCCCCAGCAGCTGTCTTTTCAATTCGTAGGGTCATCAGATACTACAAGCTCCAGCCACTGCCGTGGTGTCGGTGTATCCCATTTTTTTAAGCGTTCCTCCCGTGCGCTGCAGGACGAGGGGCCTCCGGCTCCCTTCTTCAGATGTTCAGGCTGCTGCTCCTATGGAGACAGGTCAGGTCCAGGGCTGGGATGCGGTACGGCCCTTCTTTTTAGACCCAGAACCGTTGTTTGAAAGCACATTTCGTCTGGCCTGCGCTGGGCTCGTTGTGCTTCATATTATGAATATGGGACTCGTAATAAAATACCTTGTACTGAACCAGATAGCAATATTTATTGCATTCGAGAAATGTGCAATAGGGCATGAAGATAAGGCATAAAACGTATCGACTATTTTATTTTATGTTGGAAATCCATGAATACCCAGCTAGGTGTTTCAGGACAGTGTTAATCACTAATACCAGCTGCCTTGTTGCTCTCTCCTTCAGTCCTTCTGCCGCTCCAGTTTTGCCGCCGTCTTTGGTGATCATCCCATGTTCTCCCCCTAAATCTGTGACTGGGGAGATGGTCAAGAGCCGGATCCCTCGCAGTGTGGCACTGGCCCTTCTCTGTGTCTGAAAAAGTAATCTCTCTGCTGATTGACCCCAAAATTTGAAAATTGCCTCGAGCCAACGATTTGCCCACCTCCCTTTTGATCTTCACAGAGTCATAGAATAGTTTGGGCTGTAAGGGACCTTTCAAGGTCATCTAATCCAACGCCCCTGCAACGAGCAGGGACATCTTCAATGATATCAGGTTGCTCAGAGCCCCGTCCAATCTTGCCTTGAATGTTTCCAGGGATGGGGCATCTACCACCTCTCTGGGCGACTGGTTCCAGTGTTTCACCACCCTCAGCATAAAAAAATTTCTTCCTTAAGTCGTCAGCAGGGCTGCTCTCAATCCCTTCATCCCCCAGCCTGTATTGATACCGGCGGTTACCCTGACCCACGTACAGGACCCTTCACTTGGCCTTGTTGAACCTCATGAAGTTCACGTGAGCCCGCTTTTCAAGCTCGTCCAGGTCCATCTGGATGGCACCCTGTCTCTCGGACATGTCAACTGCCCCACTCAGCTTGGTGTCATCCACAAACTCGCTGAGGGTGCACTTGATCCCACTGTCTATGTCACTGATGAAGACATTGAACAGTACTGGTCCCAATATGGACCACTCGTAACTGATCTCCATCTGGACATTGAGTCGTTGCCCACTACCCTCTGGATGTGACCATCCAACCAATTCCTCATCCACTGAACAGCCCATCCATCAAATACATATCTCTCCAATTTAGAGAGAAGAATGTTGTGGGCGACCATGTCAAAGGCCTTACAGAAGTCCAGACAGACAGCATCCATAGCTCTTCTCCACCAATGTAGTCCCTCCATCATAGAAGGCCATTAGGTTGGTCAGGCAGGACTTGCCCTTGGGGAAGCCATGCTGGCTGTCTCGAATCACCTCCCTGTCCTCCATGTGCCTTAGCACAGCTTCTAGGAGGATCTGTTCCATGATCTTCCCAGGCACAGAGGTGAGGCTGACAGGTCAGTAGTTCCCCGGACCTTCCTTTCTGCCCTTTTTTAAGATGGGTGCAATGTTTCCCTTTTTCCAGTCCCTGGGGGCTTCACCCAACTGCCATGACTTTTCAGCTATGACGGAGAGTGGCTCAGCCAGTTCCTCAGGACTCTGGGATGCATCTCGTCAGGTCCCGCAGACTCCTGTATGTTCAGGTTCCTCAGGTGGTCACAAACCTGATCTTCTCTTACAGTGGGAGTGACCCTTCTCCCCCAGTTGCAGTCCATCCATTTGAGAGGTGTGGGGAGAGAGGTGGTCAGTGAAGACAGAGGCAAAAAAGTTGTTGAGTCCCTCAGCCTTCTCCTCATCACTTGTTACCAGTTTGCCAGTCTTGCTCATCGGGGGGACACACCCTTTCTTTGACCTTCCTTTCCTGATTGACATACCTGTAGGAGCCCTTCTTATGATTCTTTGTGTCCCTCATCACCAGGTTCAGCTCCAGCTGCACCTTGGCCTTCCTGACCCCATCCCAACACACTTGGGCAGCATTCCTGTGCTCTTCCCAGGACACCCGTCCCTGCTGCCACTGCCTGTGTGGTTCCTTCTTGCCCTGCAGGTTGACCAGCAGGTCTCCACTCGGCCATGGCGGTCTCTTGCCTTCCTTGCCTGATCTCTTACACCCGGGGATCGAGCGCTCCTGCGCTCTGTGGGAAGTGTCCTCCAAGCTCTGCCAGCTCTGTCCTGCTCCCGTGTCCCTGAGAGCAGTTTCCCAGGGGCTCCTGGAACAGCTGGAAGTTTGCTTCCCAAAAATTCATCTCCACCTGCCTATCACTACCTCAAGGTTTTCATCCCTCCCCACCTCTGCCTCATTCCGTGCCATACGAACTCGCCGTTTCCACTTGCCCTTCTTGGCAGTATTGGTGAATTTTTGTTTTTCGCAGCGTTGCTCCCAGCTGGGCGTGGCTCCCATCTCGGCTCCGCCGCCTGCCCAGTCCCCGTGCACTTCCAGCCTCCTCTCGCATCTTCTAGTTGGGCTCCTGGCTGTCTGCGGTGACTAACCCAAGCGACACAAAAGGTGTTTACTCTGCAGCATCCTTTAAAATGTCTTTTCTACTTTATCTCATTTCACTCCTACTCTAGAGGCGTCCCACCAGGTGCCCCAGGAGAGAAGCGGTCTCAGTGATGCTGCTCTCCTACGCTGCGCTGTGCTGGCACACCGCGGTTTGGGCGACTTGTAATCGGCAGTGAAATTAGGAAGCAGAAACCGGCCGCTCGCAAAGGAAGGTCATAAAATCCATCCGAGAGGAGAACAACGTGGGGCAGGTTGGAGTGAGCCCTCCCAGTCCCTCTACCTCCCAGCTGGAGGCAGGAGATGCCTGCGAGCAGGGGCAGGAGCGCGGGTGTCCCGCGGTACGGGGACAGCACCCGTTTCCCTGTGATGACTGCGCCGTGTGGAAGAGGAT